GCGCGATGGACTCCGCCTGGCGGCCGTTGCCCCTCGTGCGGGGCCGAGGCTCCGGCTTCCTGTGGATCCGCCCCCACCGCCCCCCAGCTGTGGTCAGAGAGAGGCCGGCTGGTCTGAGGTCTCCATGTCACAAAGCCACCGACACAGCTACGCGTGCTCCAGCGGCCGCCTTCGCGACAGGAAACGGGGCCGAGGAGCTGCCGCGGCCGCCCTGTGAGCCTGTCTTCACGAGAGCGCCATTGCCGCGTGTCGCTCTGTGTGCGTGTCCCGTGTGGGGGCCTCTCCCTGGCACGTGGGCCCAGCTCGTGGCTCTGCGGGGGCCTCGCCGCCTTGAAGGAGCTGCCCGCGTCCCCTGCAGGTGACACGACCCTTCTCATCACGGGACTGGCTTTTTGTTTTTTAAACTCCGGTGTTGGGAAAATCCCCCATCGCGGGGCTTTCCCCTTTTATTTACGTAGCGCCCCGTTTCTTGCATACACGTGCTTGATTTCATCCGCCAGGAAACAGACCCTGCTGACCCTTTGACCTTGGACGGGCAGCCTCGGGGCTGTGGGGGGCAGTGGGGACGTCCACGTCTGCCGGCGAAGCCCCCGGCCCGCAGCACAGGCTCCGGCGGCCAAGGGAGCAAGTTCCGAGGGTACGAGGGGGGCCGAGGTGCCTGCTCTGCACCCGGATCCGGGGCCGGGAGACGCCGAGCCCGCGGAGGCAGCACACGGGCCTGTGCGAAGATCGTGGAACTTTCCGGGCTAAGCCCTGCGGCTGCCGTTGCCCGAGAGGTCGGCCAGTCACTCCACACGGACCAGCCCCGTGGCGGCCTGTGCGGGGCGGCTGCCCGCCTCACGCCTCCGTCCTTGCGAGTCAGAGCTCCACGCCTCCTGGCCCTTTGTGCTACGTGGTCTCGTATCGGTTCATAAAAATAGCACTTGGCTTCATAACTGGTCACGGGACTTGTCCCCAGAGTCTGGTCTCTGCCGCCCTCCCCCCGGCCTCCATCCATCCACCTGACGGCCACCCAGCGTGATCCTCCCTCAGAGAGGTGGCTGTGGGCAGCACGTCTGGCAAGGGAAGGCCCTCCGGGCCGAAACCAGCGGCCCCCCGCCCCCGCCACAGGTAACTCACCTGTCAGCCCTGACAGGCTCCCTCAGGTGAGCATGCTGTGCTCTTGACCGTGGCAGGTTGTCCTGCAGGCACTGGGCCTGCGGCTGAAAGGCTATGGTAATGCAGCCTGACGGTTACAATGTGAATTACAATGTGAATTATTCAGAGATTTGATGGAACTATCTCTTTGTCTCTGTTTAAAAGCCTTAGGAAAATCAGGCACAATGAGCAATTAGAAGTTTTATGACCTCAGGAAAGAGCTTTCCTGACCTCGATGTTTCTTATTTAATTGTAATTTATAAGTCTTGAGGAAAATAACCTTGTGGGTAATTTAAATAACTTACTTCCTCTGCACCCAAATTATATTTTGCTCATTTCAATAATTTCTCATGAATCCGAATTAGTCCCTCTTCTCACTCTAATTAGAAACCACTTTCCAACTTCCATCTAAGGGTATTTGTTCAAAAGACAATAAATGGGCAGAAACACGTGGTTTCATATTGTGACGCTGTCCGGTGCCCACTTAGCTCACAGAATTCAAAACAAACCCTCAAACATCGGTTCCCGACGTTGACGGCCCAGGCGCCCAGGCGCCCGGCGGGCGCGAGGGTGTAAGCGGGGGGGCCCCCTCCGGCCCCCGGGCAGCCCGAGGCCTCCGTCCTGCTCCCGGCCCCTCTGCTGGAATCGACTTCGGCTTCTCCGAGTGAAAACATAGAGCGTCGCTCCTGTCTGCTCCGGGCTGGAGAGCCTGGTTCTGCTTTGGACGCGAAGGGCCGCAGAACCGAATGCCGTCCCAGAATTCGAGGTAAGGGCTGAGGGGTCCCCGTCCTCAGGGGTCTGGGCGGCGAGGGGCCGACGACCCCAAGAACCACAGTCCCGCCTCCGGGGGCCCTGGGGTTGGGGGGTGCCTACTCCACTGGATGGCGACCTGTCACCTCCTCCGCCCGCCCTGCCGCGGGGGCTCAGCCTGACGCCCCGGAACCCAGTCCTTCCCTGGCTCGGAGGTGGCTCCGCGGACCCCTTCGTCATGCAGCCTTGAAGGCTTTGTTCGACGGTTTCATTTTGCAGACGTGAACGCTGACGCTAGCCCTGCACAGAGAAAGTGGGACAGAAGGAAGGAAGCTGTCACGGGGCCCCTCCAGCCAGTGCCCGGGCCCGCGCCCTAACCCAGCCCCGCTCACCGCCACCGCCTGTGTACCCTTCAGGTGTGGCCCTGCCACTCACACTAGCGTTCTGGGGACCCGAGCTAGGGCTGCATTGCTTTTAACGGGCTTTGCACAGAGCGGATTTTTCTTACACGAGATCCGATGACCTTCCTCCAAGTTCGCGCCAAGCTTTTTCCGACGACCGTTCACTACGTCACCTACAGGGGGTCTCAGGTCTCAACCCGCCTTCGCAGCCGGAAAGTTCGACGGCCTTCTGGGTGCAGAGACCTGTTTAAGCGTGTAGGAGTCTCCCACACGGCGGTCACCTGGTGCCAATGAGCAGCACGGTCTCAGAAGAGACTGGTGGGGTGTCCCCTCCCCTTGCTTCTCCAGCTCCAGCTGGAACTTGACCTGTGCAGGTACCTGCCCTGGGGAGAGTCCAGGACAACAACCAACTCACACAGCTGTTTCTCCCAGGGAACAGGATCCAGAGCCACAAGCAATCATTGTGACACAAATCCTGAGACCACGGGCTTTGGCTCTGATTGCCATTAAATTAAGGTCCTGAGGCCTCAGCTAAGGTCCTACACTTCCATCACCGTGAACGTGATGCTGAGGGCCCTCTGCCCCAGGAGTCTGGGGCTGTTTCCTGCAGAGGCCCCTGGAGGCCCTCAGCACTGCCTCCCGGCCACCGTCCCCCGCCACCGTCCCCGCCACCATCCTTTCCCCCCACTCCCCCACCCTCCTCTGTGTCTCCTCTGAGGCTGTGTCCCTCTCTGCGTACGTTCAGCTGTGTCTGCATCGGCTCTCTCCCACGCAGTGTTCCCTGCGGGTTACCGCTCGCTTTAAGGTGTAAAATGCCCCAGGTGGGAGCAGTCGGGAGGGCAGCCGTGGGCTCCGCCAGGCTGGCCCTTCGACGCCCATGACAACCCTGTCGGGTCCCCAGTGCTTCCTGAGGGGTGGGCGCGGGGCTGGCGACTTAGACCTTGAAGCAGGTAACCTGGGTCTTGCAAATGCGAGGTCCGCAGCCGACCCTCGGCCAACCCCATCTTTCTTGGGGTGAGCGTCTTCCACATGGGCCCCCACAAAAGGTGGATGGAGAGCAGCTTATTAGTCAAGAACATCAACACCGGCAGGAAAACTTGCTGGGAAAAGCGGCCACCCACACCGCGACTGGTCAGCGTCGGCTCGGGCTGCCCCTGACGGGTCACGCAGAACGGAAAGACCCAGACCTAATCTGACAGTGGCCTTGCGACCCTGGGCAGGGCCCCGTCTGGGACCAGAGTCCTCACCCGTGAAACAGGAAAGAGATGACCCGGCCGCACGGTAGAGAGAACTTCGTGCGACTGAACAGACGGACGGAGCCGCTTTAAACCCCGAACCCGGCACCTGAGGCTCGCGGACTCGGACCGACCCGGAAACGCCGGTCCCTCCTCCCCGCCCAGGGCCCAGGCGAAGAACTCCCGAAGGACGCCTGGCCTGGGTTAGTGCTTTCACCATTAGTGACCGCGGTGTGAGAGGCACCTAGTGACTCCTCTGAAGCATCTCATCGTCCCTATGCCACTGACAAAAAGAAGCCGTCATCCTCCCTGCCTCTGGCCAGGCGGCACCATCATCAGCGGTGACCAGCGGGGCCGGGAGGGTCGGCGGGAGGAGGCCACACTACCGCAGACCGCCCGGTGGCTTCGCCTGTAAGGACTGGGACACCTGGCCCATCAGGACCTCCTCATCCCCCAGGCACAA